ATCGGTGGTGGCGGTGAAGGTGATGGCGGCAGTATGAGCCAAACGGTCCGAATCGAGATGCCACCCGGCGAGAAGCCCGCCTCGCCACATGACCGATTCCCGAAAGATCGTACGAAAGCTGTGGTGAGTTCCTGAAGTTCATCGACGTCCTTTCAGTGTAATATCGCACTTGCTCGTAATCAGTAATTTTGCTTGAGATTTATTGATTTTGATAAAATGAAAATATTTGAATTTTTTAGTTTTGTTATTATTGTTTTTCAAATAATAGTTTTTTTAACTGTAGTATGATATGATCACAAATCACGCATTTCAAAAGTAATGGAATATTCTTTATATTGAGAAAGCACTTAAATCCTAATTTTTGGAATAGCAAAGGGAATTTCTTTGTTATAAATAAGTTGAAGGCTTTACATCCTTTTGCCTTGCATATTACGCGCTTTTCTCGACTATTCTTCGCGAAAACCGTATAACTCCTCCTCAAGCCATAGATAAGGGAAGTTTACGCAAAGAATAAGTCAATCTCGAATTATACCAATAAAAGTCACATTGCTAATGTGTGTATATGCAACATAATCGACCACCGAATGTGTTTTTCTTTAAGCCACAGCCTTCCTTTCGGCCAGTACCTTATGTAATTCTTGTTCGTAAATTTTTTTTGTAACAAAAACGATGAGCTGTGTTGCCCACAGACAACAACATGCTATAGAATCTTTCTACATATCTTGAACATTGTACAATATTGCTCTTTTGAGCTGAAATTTACAGACAAAATGGTCAGTAAATGCCATGCAGTATGAAAACATCAACAATTATTTACTTTTGCCACATTGTTCATTCAAGCGATACAAAGTACCTTTGCTTATGTGATTTTGGAGTTTAATCAGTTTACCAAAAACTTCAATGTTCACCATGATATTTGGATTTTCTTCACCGTGAAGAAAATTTTTTTTGGTATTGAAACCACACTCAAATGCGAAATTTTACACTTCTGTTTATTCCTTTTCATATAACTGACATACTTTCTTCTGTTATAAAATTGTCCTGATCAATTTGGAATATGAACACGATATGGTGAATTCATAAAATTAGAGGATTTGTGAAATTTACTAAGCATCTACTAATTGAATCCCTTTTTCCACCAAGCTGATAGTGAAGTTATAGGAGGTCCAAGCATAAATCCTTGTAGGAATGTCTTGATTCCAATAGAAAATAGAAGCACCAGCTATTTTGTTTCAAAATCAAACTTTTGACCATACCTCTCCTGTTGCGTGCTCACGTAATCATCATCTATATAGTCATAGTCATCGTTTGCGTTTTTGGTCATCTTCAAGCCAGGGAAGATAGTATTCGCCTCTTAAATTTATTGGAATCTCAAGCATTTGAAGAATTGTTCATTATTTTTTGTTTGCCCCTTAGCGCTCGACGTATCGCAAC